TGAATTCGAAATCGAAGACTAACTCAAAGTTTAACTCAAACAGTAACCCGAACTTTAATTTGAACTCTAATTCGATGGATGGCCACACTCATCCAAGGCACATACAACCTGGAAATCTATCTAAAAATAGAACAGGTTTTTCCGAATTGGTCACGTGATTTTACCTCATCAAGTAATGGGATAACCACATCAAAGAATGACAGGATCACATCAAATAATGAAACAAACACATCATGTAGTGTAAAATCGTCAAATTTTGAAACATCATTACGTAATGTTAAAACCATATAAAGAATAGGCAAATTATCATTACAAAATAACAAAACCACATCATGTAATGAAACTACTACATAACGTTAAGTCACATTCACATCAAGTAATGTTAAAACCACATTGACTAATGACACAACCACATTAAATAATGGTGAAACCACATCGAGTAATGACAAAATCATATTGAGGAATGACAAAACTATATCAAGTCAATACGAAACCATATCGTGTAATATCGAAATATCAGTAAGTAATGACTATTCCATATTGAGTTATATCAAAACATCATTACATAATGTCAAAACCATATTAAGTAAAGACAAAATATCATCAAGTAATAATAAAACAACATAAAGTAACATCAGAGTTCCACATAAGACAGCTGTGGCGTTCCATAGGCGTCACTTTCATCGTTCCTTTATAAATAGCAAATTTGGCAAATTTGTCGTATCCGCTCTTTAACTTTACTTTGCCACAACCAAATGTTCTGATTCTTATATACAAAGCTTACTACCACCAAAACAGATGAAGTTCGAATTTAGTCGGTTCTCGAGTTACCCCATTACTGTTTGTTATTGAACAATGAGATCCCTTAAACACTCAAGCAATCTCTAATGAAAACAAACAGAAACAAACGTCATTAAGTTTCAATGAAAACAAAACGTCAGTAGGTATGAATTAGATCATTGACCTGGCATGGACACATTCTTCTTTTATTTCATGCCATGTCGATTTATAACTGACTATACGGTATGGGCTTGCCTCATAGTTGAAAGCCGAACGGTGACCTATAACTGATTAAATTCGCATCATTTGGACTCTGTTGGATAGTTGTCTAATTGTCAATTATACCACATCTCCTTATTTTATATATAGAACAGGACTAATTACATTTAATTTAAAGAAGATATTTGCCAAAATTTTCCCATGTCATTATTTTTAACTAAACTTAATAATATACATCATTAAAACAGAAACCCCTCGGTTTAATCGCAATTGAAATTTGTTATGTAATATTGTGCAATGAGATGGTCTGATTTCATACTTTTTATTGTGAAGATCTCAAGATTAATTTGACACCTGTTCAGAATGTAACAAGAGGTAGCTAGTAATAACGTATAATATAACTTTGATATATTTAACATGTTTAAGGAATGACTGTAATATTTGTTCTGTCTATGGAGAAATAACACAAAAAATATGGTGCACACTGAATAACCCGCGTAGTGGGTTATTCAAAAGTATGTACCACTGTCCGTCTGTACGTACGTCCCAAAATTGGTTTCCGTTCTCTAACTTTAGTTTGCCTCAACTAAATGTTTTGAAACTTATACACAATGCTTATTACCACAACACACAGATCAAGTTTGAGTTTTGAAGGCGTCACTTTTCCCGTTCTAGAGTTATGCCCCTTTACAAATGGAAAAATTCCTGAAATATTTATTTCTGTTCTCTAACTTTAGTTTGCCTCAACCAAATGTTATGAAACTTATGCGCAATGCTTATTAACACAAAATTCAGATCAAGTATGAATTTGGGTAGCCTCACTTTTACAGTTCTTGAGTTATATCCCTTTATAACGTTATATGCAAGCGGGGGCAGCATCTTTATTTTAGGCTATTTCGAATAGACAGAAAATTTTTACAGTCAGTCCTTAAAATTTAATTCTAAATTCCAATTTTAAGGAGTAAATCATAAAAAACGTTCATGACGTCACGGTCACATTACAAAATTATGTCTATGAGCTGATAGACAAAAAACTTTCAACTAATGAGAAGACGTGTTACACCTAAAATAAAATTATTATCTAAGGAGAGAATATAGTTTTCGAATATATATTGGCAATTTCTTATATAGTTCAGTATGCAAAATGACAAGACCCTTCCATTTTGACATAGTTTGGATTATTTCTATAATATTTTGGTACATTCTGGTTTCTTTATTCTACAATATATGTTTTTTACAATGAGTAATTATTATACATAATATTGATCACAAATATGATTTTTGAATAAATTACTGACGAACTTAGAAATTGTTTTGACTCCTACTAGTATATATATATGAACATGAACATGAACTATGTTTTGTATGTGAAAACTACGAGTAGAGGGCACGAATAATTTTTTTTCTTCACTAAAATAAGTTTTTGCTATATGAGCAAAAACATGTTCTCTTATGTCAAATTAGCTGCAATAATGAAGATATTTATTAAAATATGTATTAACGCAGAACATGAAAAATAGGAAGGAGCCAATAACCAGGAGTCGTGTGCAAAAACCAACAAATAATACTATAGCAAAAGCAACATAAACCCATTAAAGAACTCATGTGATCCGGAAGGGTAAAGTAGGTCCTGTTCCAGGAATGACATCCGTTGTGTTAACCATGACTGTGATGTCATAACCGGGATAGGATTGAGGCTATTACATATGAATCATATCTATGAGAAAGATATCGAATAACGTCAACAATATCAAGAAGGCGTCAGTAATGTATATTCGAAAATGTTACTTCAACTGTTTAAAAAGCATTTTGAACTTTCGGTTCAATGGGTCATTGTAAGCAAAAAAGCTCTATCAGGAAAACCAGATGCCCTGGAATATTGTATCAACTTGGAGATATATGAGTCTTATGTAGACGAAGCACTCGTCTTGCGCACTAACTTAAAAGCTTACAAATGCTCGACTTTGAGCGTTCCTGTGAAAGTAGAATCATGTGCAAAACAGTGTAGACGAGACCATTGATTGGCGCGCTAAAATATCCCATTGACTGGGTCAGATTAGGTGAACGTTCGTCTCTAACGCCCACAACTCACGACGTATTTATTACAGACATTTAAAACTGTGGGGTTGCCAAAGGGTCTCAGTGCCTAAATAAAATAATTCGAAAAAACTAATCAGGAATAACCTTTGTGTTTTGATTTATATTGAATACTTAAACGTTCTTTACTTGTGTTTTTGTTATGTTTTGATAATCAATTTTTATGATATCGCACGTTCTTTCAGCAAAAAAGGATTTAACTGGCTTTAAAAGTTACAATGCATGTGTTGATTATTATCTTTTTTTCGGACGTCAAAGCGATTTAACAATTGCGGTTGTCTAATTATGTCATCTTTTAACTTTTATCTGGTCAAAATTTTATTTTAGAACGAATGCATGATCAACTTTGAAAAGTGTGCAAACACAAAACATATAGACAAAATATACTTCTTTCCTGTCTTTTTCGTACTTGCAAGTTATTAGCCAGTAATAGGGCTATTTGGATCAAGCCTTGTGAAATTTGTATTTACGTTTTTGAATAGGTAAAATGTATAGTTTGGTGAACTTTTCTGCTAACTACTATACTTGTGAAAAAACCCTTGGCAACAGAAACCTATTCATTTTTTTTTTAATCGACCCAATTTACATAGTATAAATGGACGACTTCGTACATTTTATGATCGCAAATAAATTATGTATATAATATACTGTGGCAACCCCACAGTTTGAATGTTTATAATAAATACGTCGTGAGTTGTGGGCGTTACAGACGAACGTTCACCTAATCTGACCAGTCAATGGGGGTATTTTAGCGCGAAAATCAATGGTCTCGTCTACACTGTTTTGCACATGATTCTAAATCCAGAAAAACGCTTCGGACGCGCATAATTTATAAAGGGGTATTTTCATTTTCTATTAGTTTTTAGAATTGTATTTTTATGACAATTTTACATCAACTTTTTACAAATACTTATTTTGTAGAAAGTTTTACGGTGATAGCTGTTTTTCTATTTTAATTAATCGGATTTTATCTTTTCATGGTTTGAGTTTTTATTTTAGTCATGGTGTTTATCATTCGTCATAACAAATTAAAATAGATACAATTTTTTGTAACATGTTTATGAAGATAAATGTTCTTCACATACCTAAAACATGTTTCTTAACTAAGAATACATGTAATATATAGACACACATTGTTCGCAAGTATAAGACACAAGTTCTCCCGGATTAACCACAAACTCAACGGTCAAGGCCAGTAAAACAGTTGTCTAGAAAAAAAATCCTCAAAAGAGAACGAGTTTCGGCCTGGGCTTGCAGTCAAAAAGTTATTCAAGAAGACGTTCTAAACCGAACCTTACACCGAAAACCTGTATAGAATTTAAACTAAAATCTTGTGCAAAGGCCAAACAATGAATATTCTTCTCAAACTATGAATCAGTCCCGATGGGGTTAGGTTTATACCAGTTTGACTGCATTAAAATGAAAAGGAAACTTTATAAATAGTGCGCGTCCAAAGCGCTTTTCTGAATTTCTATACATCAGGAACGCTAAAAAAAATTGAAAGCCAATGATATATATATATAAAAAGTAAAATAACAAAAAAACCGAACTCCAAAGAAAATTCAAAACGGAAAGTCTCTTAACAAATGGCAAAATCAAAAACTCAAACACCATAAACGAATGGAAAACAACGGCCACATTCCTGATATATAAATAATTGAATACTTGATGAGCTATATGACCATTGCATGGTTAAAAGAATCGCCAAATTAAAACGTACTAAACAATGGCAATTCAACCAATGACGTAACGTTATTTTTATTTTGGTGTACGAACAATGAGATTACCCATAGTACTTTAGATTATGAAAAGGTGAATTGGAAAAAACTGAAGGCATGTTTACATTCCTTATTCTCGTTACCTCAGATGAGACGTACTTCTATAAACAAGTTCTTCTGTTACAGAGAGCCTTTACAGTAGGAATAGGTGGCCCAGTGGGGTCGGGAAAGACTGCCACGGTCCTTGCCATATGTAAACATCTTAGAGATAAACACAGTATATGTGTTGTTACTAATGATATCTTTACAAGGTAAGTAGAAAGTAAAATAACAAAAATACCGAACTCCAAGGAAAATTCAAAACGGAAAGTACCTTATCATATGGAAAAGTCAAAATCTCAACACATCAAACGATTGGAAAACAACTGTCATATTCCTGACTTGGCACAGGCATTTCCTTATGTAGAAAATGGAGGATTAAACGGTTAAACCTCTCACTTGTATGACAGTTGACCTGTTGGTAGGATAACTGCGATTTCTGGAGTTTTATTTTCCAGTTTATGACATTGAACAAGAACATTATTAAGAAGAACGTAGCTTATATTCTTACGTGAATACTGTCTGAATTGAATTCTTATCATTGTTATACATTTTTTCTTCTCAGTACGTATCAGAGACATATAATACATGTATTATAATTATGCCCCTGTAGGTATGAAATACTATAACGGTTTCCGAAAATTAAAACATCACCGAAAAACAAAATGGAAATCGGTCGAGAAGAATAAAAATGTCGCAATGTAAATCGTGACTAGGTTCAAATTTAATCAAGCGACAATAACAAAGGAGGCAGCATTCTGTTTGTTTATATTTCTATCACACTCAAATTGTGTGGCAGATATTGCAAACGATACTAAGTTTTCTAAATTTTAAACAAGTACGTACGCAATAAATAATATGTGTTTTCTGAATGTGTTCTCGTAAAAGGGAAAATAACTGCAAGAACAGTTGTTAATTTTAATCATTCTGAGACACGTGTGGCACATGATATTGAAATACCAATAAAAGTCTTACATTATAAGAGGGTGTGAATGGGGTTTACAGAATAGAGAATAATGGGCAAAAAATATAAAAAAATAGAGAATAATGTGGTGCTAAAATATAAAGAATAGAGAAAAATGGCCTACAAAATTAAAGAATACAGAAATGAAGGACACCCCATCCAGACCCTCTAATAATAATAGGTCTTTACAACACTGTGAGGGATGTTGATTTTCTGAAAAAACAAAAAAAACGTGTTAAAGATCTATAAATACTTTCAGGGAAGACTGGGAATTTTTAGTCAGAAATAAAGCCTTACCTGAGGAAAGAATGACAGCAGTAGAAACTGGTGGGTGTCCCCATGCTGCCATTAGAGAGGTATTAAATAGCTGTAGAATTGGTATAATAGAACAGAAAGGATATTGGTTATCCATCCATGATACAAAATCAGAACATGTACACCAAAAAAACTTATAAAGCATAGGAACAGCGCTTTTATTGCTGTTCTTCGTCTCTTCTTCAAGGTTGTTTCTGTAACATAGTGCGATGTTTTATGCTTTTACAATGTTTCTACTATTAAAAGCAGTTGAAGTGCCAATTAGTCAATGCTGATGAGCACGTCTTTGTTACTTTTAACGTTGGTTTCCTTCTATGTGATGTATAAGATGACATTAGATGGGTTTCATTTGTCTTAACTACAATAGCGTCCTGCTTTCTTTGATAATGAAATATTTGCCACTGGACGTTCAGCAAACAATAATCAACCATCCTCGTGTATTACTATCATCGTGTACTGTTCCTCTCCGATTCGTACATGTATTGATCACCACGACTGGGACTACCAGTGGAACAAGAACTGTTTGGTATTTAGAAGCACCTGTATTCACACTTAGTTGTGACCTATTGATTCCAAATATTAGAATCGTATAATAATTTTTAAGTGAGGTTTGTGTTGCATTTACTATAGTTTTCTGCGTTATATTTTGTGATATTTTCTTTCCGATGTCTCTGTTATTGGTATTAGATGCGGTCTTGTCTATCCTCTGTTCTGAAAGAAAACAAACTTGGTTTCCTTTTCAATCTTTTAGAACCGATCTTTGTTAGAGTTATACTATTTACATGTGCTCCTTTATGAATTTTGGTAATGAATAAGATTAAACAAGCGTCACCCACCGATACACTATTACATGATGCTTTTTCACTAATTATCATAATGACTTGTAGCTCACCAAGACAGTACTTTCCTATAATCGATTTTTTTTAATTTATTGGAGTCAACTTGAGGAATAAGCTTTATATGAGCTTTGTGATTTCATGTGTTTTAGTAATTCAAACGTATATGTATGAACAAAATATTATTTTCGTTATATATACTTGTAGGACTATTCTTTGAATATGGAGGAAGTCAGGGATCTCACAAGAAAGTTTGACCCGGAAGTAGTTATAATAGAATCTGGGGGTGATAATTTGGCAGCGAATTTTAGCAGAGAATTAGCCGATTATATTATTTATATAATCGATGTAGCAGGGGGTGACAAGATTCCTAGAAAAGGTGGCCCAGGCATTACACAGAGTGATTTGTTAGTGATAAATAAAACAGATCTCGCAGAGGCCGTCGGAGCTGATCTAAAAGTAAGTTCCAAAGATAAAAATATGAAATTTATAAAAAATAAAAAAAAAAAAAAAAAAATTTTTTTTATTATGAAACTGAAAATGAGTCATACTTGGAAATAGTGCATCTGTGTTGATATTTCTCTCATGGTTTGATTAAGAAAAATGAAGCCTACATGTATTGCCTTTTAAAAATGATTCCAAAACTATACCGTAACTCTTATTTAATCGGTTTTTTTTTTGGAAAGTTTGCTATAGCTTGCTATAGCAATATACTTTCCTAAGGCATCGGCCTCAAACGGCTCACAAACACTACTTCGCGGATCTGCGCTGCGCGGAAATTAAAATCCATACACATCTACACGACACAGCAGTTTCTACGTTATGCTTTTATCGGTATTCCCAAGACATGCGTGAAATCCATATATGTTTACCTTCCGACGGGAGTACAATAATCACGGTTTCAAGAGTTTCCTCCCGTTCTCCGGTTGAAGAGAAAATAAATACCGTGTTTAAAATATTTCATGAATGAACATTTTTCGACGCTATTTTTACTACGATTTTTACAAATGTTTATTAAACTTTAAGACGTAAAAGCCCGAGTGTATCGAAAGTAACCTGGTATCTCATCTCGGCCCATACAGACTCTGACTATAACAAACTCGGCCTATTGTTTTTGCTCAGTTCTTATTATTTTTCTTCTTGGGATCTATTTATGGGTATTTTGAGGGGCCTACAGAAGGGAGGGATTTACTAAAGAACCCTATGGGATTTTATTTTTTTTAATTTTCAAATGACTTTAACTTGAAAACAGTAAGTGATAGACACACGCGGTCTTCAGTCATGATCACAGGACAATAAAACAAATAAAATGAAATATAGTTTGAGTCCCTGAGGTCACCCCCTTTCAATTTGAGAATGGGCTTTTATCTTGTAAACGGTCGAGATCCCCACACCTAAACCATATATATTCATGTATGGGATAATAAAACAAATCAAATGAAATATAGCGGGAGTCCCTCTGGGTCCCCCCCACCCCTCCTGTTTGAGAACTTGAAAACGGTCGAGATCCCCATCTTGAAACCATATATATTCTTGTATGGGACAATAAAACAAATCAAATGAAATATAGGGGGAGTCCTTGGGGTCACCCCCACCCCATCCTGTTTGAGAACTTGTAAACGGTCGAGATCCCCACCCCTAAACCATATATATTCTTGTATGGGACAATAATACAAATCAAATGAAATATAGGGGGAGTCCCTGGGGGTCACCCCCACCCCACCCTGTTTGAGAACTTGTAAACGGTCGTGATCCCCACCCCTAAACCATATATATTCTTGTATTGGACAATAACACAAATTAAATGAAATATAGGGGAAGTTAACGGGGGTCACCCCCACCCCACTTCTTTTTGAAAACTTGTAAACGGTAGAGATCCCCACCCCAAAACCATATATATTCTTGTATTGGACAATAACACAAATCAAATGAAATATAGGGGAAGTTAACGGGGGTTACCCCCACCCCACTTCTTTTAGAGAACTTGTAAACGGTCGAGATCCCCATCCCTAAACCATATATATTCCTGATAATGATTTTAAGAAGATTTGAATGACATGCAGGGTTAATCCCTAGTCGTCACTTATGCATATCACTTTACTAGACCAAACCAATTTGAACTGGACTTTGCCCAATGTCAGGCGACCATGGGAATGACTAATTATGGGAGCTTTGTTTGAAAGACTTCGTAACAGCATCCTGTTACAATTATTTCTTGTATTAAGTAAAAAAAAATAAAAAGTCGGAAAAAGCCATTAACCACACAATCTACTAATCTTAGTCCGAGTTTGTTCAATATATAACAATTCAAACAAGAAAACTAACTGCTTAATTAGTAATAATACAATTTTCTAAAAACAAATATGACGGACCTTAATCAATAAAAAAATATTTAATCACAGGCCCTTTACATGGGATGGGCACAGAAAGAAATTAACAGAGCGTTCTGTATATTTGATTATTTTAAATCTACAGATTAAGGTTGCAATAGAAATTATCAAAATTTTACATGACAAACATATGAAAAAAGTGATTTTTGATAATTGCTGATGAGACGATGGTTTAGGGAAAAACACCAAATACATATTTGAAATAATACACATCTACAACCTATTTGAAATAATAAACATCTACAACCTATTTGAAATAATACACATCTACAACCTATTTGAAATAATACACATCTACCGTTGCAAACTTTCCACATGTGCTATCCAGCACTTTGATTGTCTTGCTTTTCAGCAACTGTACAATACTTTTCAGACTGGTTGGCTCTTGGGACATCCAACTGCTGTTCACTTAGGCAAACGCCAAATATTCCTACATTTGGCAAGTCGTTGTCAAAACTCTTTTTACACAGAACTAAATTATATAAGAAGAGTTATATTTTGTTCAATATATTACAGGCCGTTATTAAATTTTTTGACGGATTTTTTAGGTAATGGAAAGGGATGCAGCTATGATGAGACAAAGTGGTCCAACACTATTTACTCAGGCTAAAAACATGGTTGGAATTCCAGAGATATGTGACCTTATAATGACAGCATATAAACAAAGTACCAAGAAATCAACTTAAATAATTATACGATGTTACTTTATACATTTTAACGAAGTTGTTTATGGGAAAAGTACAGATAGTGTAATTTTAGAAGACAGTTACAATGAAATTGACTGAGAGTAACCTTGACGTAAAACGGGGCTTAACAAATATTAAATGTAGTAATGTCAACAGCATGGAATGTATTTCTCATGAAGATAACACCAGAAGCTAACGCTTTTCTTTAAGAAGATTAAAGAAAATGTAAAGGACTATATAAAGTGGTATATGACGTCTTCTTGATCTATAAAGGACATTGCACTATAATATTATTATTATGTTAATGTTGGCTTACAGTATTAATACACTGTTATGTAGATATAATTAAATCTATATTTACTGAAAGCCTTTGTTTTCGACGGCCTATTTTTAACCGCAGTTTGGGATCCTTTTTGTAGAAAAACATCCCCTAGAAGTCAGAACTTGCGTAGGGATATAATACTTTTGCCCATGATCGTGTTATATACCGATTATCGCATATGTCGAGATGCAAATAATACTGATTATCGCATATGTCGAGGTGCAAATAATACAGATTACCGCAAATGTCGAGGTGCAAATTAAAAAGCATGATTGGAAATATTTCCAATAGCCATAAATCCAATGGAGTTAGATCAGGTGCATTTACTGAGATAGCATCGTATCACCCGTTTTACTTTTCCAAGGTCATACCTAGAAGCAAGTGACCGTGACGACCAGCATAACGACAATTAAATAATATACAATATATAAGGAAACATGACAACAACTAGTATTGACTAAAACACTCTGCTTTATATCAATAATGATAAAACACACATTTGGGATTGGACCGCATTGTGTGTATTGTAGCCATTTGAAAAAGACTAAGTCCTGTCCCAAGTCAGAAGCCTGTAATTCAGTGGTTGTCGTTTGTTGCTGTATATCCTATTTGGTTTCCGTTTATTGTTCTTAAACATAAATCAGGCTACTATTGAATTGTTTAACATTTGTCATGTCGGGGATTTTTATAGCTTTTGTAGCTTGAAATAATGTATAAATGTAATAAAGGGTTTGGTAATTGACGAAGGCCGTTCGGGGAACTATAGATGCTAACTTCTATGTCATTTTGTCTCTGGTGAAAAGTTGACTCATTGGCAATCGTAACTCATATTCTATTTTTATATAGTTGGGACAATTTCCATGTCATAATATTCATGGAAAGACCAGAAAGGCTATGGTGTGACGAAGGTCGTAATGTAATTGACATTTCACTTAAACAACAGTGAGATCGGCCAAACGTTGGTTGATTTTAATACTTCAAGGATAACGAAACATTCTGCAGGCAATAATAATTCTATGCAATATATATTTTGAAATGAAAGAACTTTACAATAAACCTCATATACCACTCGCCCAAACATACATTACGATTTAAGACAGTAATATAGCCCAAGAGTGATCATGATCGTAACCCTTGGCTGGCGAAGATGTTGAGAACTTTATACTCCATTGTAATTTGAAATCGACAAACAATTTAATTATAACTGATCTTTTCGTTCTCCTTAAAAATCGAGTTGGTTGACCCAGTGAGTCGCCACCCCCAATTACTGAGTGACGATTTAAGGATACTTTATTTTATAATTAATGTCAAGGGTAAAACAAGCCTTTACCAAGCTTATCAAGAGTTGTTTCCCTTGGTCTGTTAAACTTCTGGTATTCGTTTGAGTCGAACTATGGGTATTTCGAAATATTTCTCTGTTCCGGCTGACTTCGAGATATCGAGAGTCGACAGTATTTCTATATTTATTAATAATAAAACTCAACATTTCGAAGGTGGAGATGGAGGCAGCTGGTTACTGATTGCAAAATGGTAAAGACCTGTATAGAAAAGAAATAATGTTATTATTTGATAGCATAAACAAGCAGGGCTAGTTACCCCTGCATTTATTTGTCTGGTAATTTTTTTAAAAGTCCTCCAATCAAATACATAGTATTACAGTTTAAAGTGTTGGGTTCTAACAACATTATGGCGAATTTTGAATATGCAACCAAATTGTTCATGCCTGTACTTTGCTGTATATTTACATGTAGGGTTTACAATTTTGGTATTTGTTTTATATCCCGTCTGAAAAAACGAAAAATCAACTTTAAATGTACGACATGAAAGATGTATCATTTTGAACGCCTATCATTATAGTAAGAATATAATTAGACCAAAGCAGATAAGACGATCGCCGATCAGGGAAAAGCCATAAAAAGAGGGTTATTTTCATCGTCAAACCAAACTAGATTTGAGAAAAGGAAATCGATTTTTAAACGGACATATATCCGAATCCTACAATATCAAGATATGGAATGGTTCTTTCTGCATCGATATAACATTATAATCAGTTATAAGCGACGTAATAAGTAAACACTTCTACATAGTGAGACATGATCATTGTACATGCAAATGTACAAATAAATTACCTGCGCATGCAGTTTGGAAACCAGCATTGTAATCACATGCCACTTCATTTTTGACAAATTCTTCACGTCTGTCCTGATAATCGTCATTACGCCCTGGTCCACCTACAAGTCCACCAAGTAAAGTATTTGGATTGTCTTCGGAATGGCTGACACATCTATTTTGTTGACATGAACTAAATCAAAGAGAATAAAATTGAATTCATATATTTTTTTCCTCTTGAATTATACAGTTAAAACGAGTCATTAAGATGTCTTTTGTTTTGCTGTTTTATTGAACTTCATCCAAAATCTCCCTTTTTTGCATCTCTGATTTGGTTTGTGGTGTTGGAAGATGTAAAATGTATTCTAATAATCATTATAATTAATTAGCTTTTAAAATTTCTTGAATAAATTGGGAAATTTTATAATTATAAAGACAGATTTCACTTGATTCGAACAGAATTTTCGCGTGCTTTCGTATAAATTATAAACGATCTTGCATAAACTTTATAACATATTCCTAGTGGGTATATAATTATTCTTAACAAAAAAGTAAAAGAAAAAGAACAAATCACTTTACAAACTCTCTTCATGAAATGATTTTTTAATATTAATAAATAGGATCTATTTTTTAATATTACAAATTATTTTTTAATATTAATAAATCGAATATTTAATATTAATAAATAAAACCCATTTATTAATATTAAAAATTACCTATTTATTAATATTAAAAAATATTTATTAATATTAAAAAATCGATTTATTAATATTAAAAAATAATATTTAATATTAAAAAATGATTTTTTAATATTAATAAATAGGGAATAAATTCCACAACGGCTTGCCATATGAAAAGAGTGTATACGTATTAAAAAAATTCGTAAGGGTTCCGCGGAACCCAGTGTCTCGCCTATTTTTGCTGTTAGTCAAAAGCTCAACAAAAATGGAGAAAACATTATTAAACATTTTCCTCTAGATACTATCTTTTGATTGTAAGAAGCTTCTGTCCAAGTTTGGTTAAAAATCCAAGAAGGTTTATGAATCTAATAAACGTTTTAAAAACTTTAACTGCAGACTGTACATAATGTTAACTTGAATAAAACTAAGTCCATTTATAATAATAGTAATATACGAAAAACAGGAAATAATTTTTTACAAAATTTCCTTCTAGATACTAGCTTTTGATCATAAACAAGCTTCTGTCCAAGTTTGGTACAAATCCAGGATAGTTTAAGAAAGTTATTAAAATTTTGAAAGCTTTAACCACAGAGTGAATGTGAATGTTAACTGGCAGAAAAACTAAGTCCATTTATAAGTAAAATACGGATAAACAGGATTTTTTTTAACAAAATTTACTTTTGAATACTATCTTATGATCACAAACAAGCTTCAGTCCAAGTGTGGTATAAATCTAGGATAGTTTAAGAAAGTTATTAAAATTTGAAAAACTTTATCCACAGAGTGAATGTAATGTTAACTGGCAGAAATACTAAGTCCGTTTATGAGTAAAATACTGATAAACAGGATTTTTTTTTTACAAAATTTACTTCTGGATAATATATTATGATCATAAACAAGCTTCTGTCTAAGTTTGGTTGAAATGCAGGATAGTTTAAGAAAGTTATTAAAATTTCAAAAACTTTAACCAGAGTGAATATTTGTGGACGCCGCCGACGACGCCGGACGACGACCACGACGACCACGACGCCGACGGAATGTAGGATCGCTATGTCTCGCTTTTGCGACTTTTGTCGCAGGCTCGACAAAAAGATACCTTGTATCCCTCTCCACGAAAAAAGGTTATACGAATAACTTGATAAACAACTGTTCATCGACTCTTTTGCTAGGGGAATGCGTTTTGGAGAGAAATTTTCCAAAATGGCATTGTTCATGACATTTTTAATAGAGGTGCATTTCTGGGGTCTTATGGGGCTACTCATAACGTTGCCTTGTTTGCGCTCCCTTTTAAAAATCCAGGATTCGCATCTGATATTTAGATATTTCAAAATGTTTCAATTGATCGGGGAGCACAGAATTAATATATGAAACTTACGCTCCTCTGTGATGAGGTCTCATCGGATAATTATTTCCAAATCCTATCTCATAACTCATGTTATAATTGTTATCACCCAGTATGTAGTTTATTTGTGACATGGCGAAATTCTTAAATTTATCGCCACCAATCCCGTCAGCAGCAGCAATAACGGCAATAAAAGCAGCATTACCTGAAACAAGTTAGAATTGATAATTAATTAAAAATCTTGCATTTAAGTTAATATCATTATTTAACGTTTTATTATAATACATGTACATTTGAAATACATTCATCTCTAACAAGGATATATGAGATCAATGCCCTTTTTATCATTTTATACATACCATTATTTACCGGGAGCAAATAAGGGAGCTACCATTTGATTTTTATGGGGGGGAGGGGGCTAGGATGAAATTTGAAAAAAAGGCAGGACATAAGTTTTGAGTAAAAAAAAGGCAGGATGAGCAACTTGGCAAAAAAAAAGGCAGGATGACAAATTATGTATAAAAAGTCAGGATAAACTAATAAAAAAAAAGGCAGGACCGAATAAAGTGAAAAATAAAAAGGCAGGACCGAGATTACAACTAATGTATTTCTTTCATTTTCTTATTTATTTTGCTACGGATACTGCCGAAAGTTATAAAAAAAGGTGGAGGCATTTATGTGTAGTTAATAGTTGTACGAATAATCTTAAAAAACTTCAGATGTGGAAAAAATCAATATGTGGATTACACAATGAGTTGCACAGGTTAAATTCCATACAAGTCTCGTTTGATACGAAAGCCTATTAGGGTCACAAAAAAAATATTTTTATCTCGTAATTACGAGAAAACTATCGCGTAATTACGAGATAATTATCGCGTAACTACGAGAAAACTATCTCGTAATTACGAGATAAAAATTCATTTGGCCAAGAAGATTATGAGGAGAAAGATTTTTGTAAAAGATTGAAAAAATTTACTTAATTGCAGAAATGACTTTAAAGGGCAATAACTCCTTAAGGGGTCAATTGACAATTTTGGTCATTTGACTTATTTGTAGATCTTATTTGGCTAAGCAGTTTTGCTCCTACAGTTTATATCTTTCTATTATAATATTCAAAATAATAACCAAAAACTGAAAAATAATCATTAAAATTACCAATTCAGGGGCAGCATCCCAACAACGGGAAGTCTTGTTCGTCTGAAAATTTTTACCCTGTCGTATTTGCTCTAAATGCTTTAGTTTCAGAGATATAAACCGTAAACTACATTTTACCCCCCCCCCCCCCCCCCCCCCCCCATGTTCGATTTTTAGCCATGGTGGCTATCTTGGTTGGTGGGCGGGGTCTTTGGATACATTTTTTAAAACTAGAAACCCTAAGGATGATTAAGGCCAAGTTTGGTTCAATTTGGCCAAGTGGTTTCAGAGAAGATTTTTGTAAAAGTTAACGGACGACGACGGACGACGGACGCTATGTGATGGGAAAAGATCACTTGACCCTTTGGGTCAGTTGAGCTAATAAAAACGGGCGTTTTATCATGTGCCCCGGAAGGGTTATCATGATCTGTATATCTATATATATATATATTTATATGTATGTAATTTTATCTCGTAATTACGAGATAATTTTCTCGTAATTACGCGATAGTTATCTCGTAATTACGCGATAATTATCTCGTAATTACGCGATAATTATCTCGTAATTACGAGATAAAAAATGATTATCTCGTAATTACGCGATAGTTTTCTCATAAATAAATATTTTTTTTTGTGACCCTAATAGGCTTTCGTACGTTTGATGCCTTCTGACGAACCAAAAAAAAAACTTGAGTGGATCAAAGTTATAAACAGAAAAACTTTGAATAAACAGGTGTTTGTATGGTCCGGATATTTTTTTTCTGGATGGTACGTCGACTGCACACAATCCGTTTTTTTTTAAAATAAAACTTGTTATGAAAGTAAAATTACACTGGCAGACGAATGTGGACACGTAGTGAAACGACTGTGAAAAAACTTGAATAAATCTATGAAAATTAATCCGATGACTACAGTGCATCTGCCTCTTTTTGTATAGAAGATCCACACATCAGATGCGGATCCAGGATTTTGAAAAAAGGGGGAGGGGGCGCGGTCCCCCAAACTAGACAAAATTTGTAATGGAAGCGGTAAAAAGTCTGGATTAACCATAAATGAATCTCCATAAGGGGGGCCCATCAGCAGATACTACAGATCAGCTGTTGCTCGATCGTACTGATGAGGTTAACACCTAGTTTGATATTTGGTTATTTTGGACGGCGCTTTCATATTTCGAAAAGTAAGGCTTGTAAAATATTTTATTCCTGGGTCCCAGTTCTTGCTGAAAACCTTAAGGGTTTTACAAACAGCTGCATCCACAGACAAATCCCAGCAAAACTTACTATTAAGGGCCCTTCCCTATAAGTCTCGTCTTAATGGTCCATATATGTAGCCCTGTGTGCTTAAAGTATATATTCATTTTACTTTCTTTATACGACGTATACAGTAACTTGATTTGAACTTTCCTCTATACGACGTATACAGTAACTTGATTTGAACTTTCCTCTATACGACGTATACAGTAACTTGATTTGAACTTTCCTCTATACGACGTATACAGTAACTTGATTTGAACTTTCCCCTATACGACGTATACAGTAACTTGATTTGAACTTTCCTCTATACGACGTATACAGTAACTTGATTTGAACTTTCCTCTATACGACGTATACAGTAACTTGATTTGAACTTTCCTCTATACGACGTATACAGTAACTTGATTTGAACTTTCCTCTATACGACGTATACAGTAACTTGATTTGAACTTTCCTTTATACGACGTATACAGTAACTTGATTTGAACTTTCTTCTATACGACGTATACAGTAACTTGATTTGAACTTTCCTCTATACGACGTATACAGTAACTTGATTTGAACTTTCCTCTATACGACGTATACAGTAACTTGATTTGAACTTTCCTCTATACGACGTATACAGTAACTTGATTTGAACTTTCCTTTATACGACGTATACAGTAACTTGATTTGAACTTTCCTCTGTCAGTAGATTATTCTGTGCATTAATTATGAAATTTTACACATTAGAAAGGATTTTTCAAAGGGCTTGGTAATCAAATATAGTTTACTAGAACCTACGGAAGCGTAGCTATAATTCGACAACCCGAAATTCCGACAGTTCAGTAGTCCGACGGTCCGATATACATCCCTAATGTAATACTGTAACACTGTATTTTACTGTATTATATACATGTACATCGGATAAGAGAGTCTAATACAGATTCAGGAAGTAAATATACGAGACCACTGTTTTGGGGTGGCGGGGAGGGGAGTTGGCTAAACACTAAATGACGATTGTAAAACAACTAATCATCGCTTTGAATTTACACGTTGGAGTCTTTTGTGGTTAAATGACATTCATTTATTTTAAGCATGGGCCGTAGCATGATGTTATAATATGCATAATAGTAGTTTTATGTAGAGTAATTTTCTCACGGCAAAAGAAATTGGAATCGAACACCTAATAAAAATATGATTACATTGGCCGTGAAAGTTCAAAACTTCTTCAGCCCATTTTAATCGCAAAGTTAAGTCTTCATATGGCCCGACGCATCGATAGCATATAGCGCAATTCATGCGGAGACAAAAGTAATACGAAAACGTCACTCAATTTTGAGCAGTTTACGTGAGTCGAACCACAAGCACAAAACTCTCGTCTCTGTGAAAAAGTTTATCATCAAACGGTACATGTCTATAGGTATATTTTTTCAGCAGAGACAAGTAACCGCGCGTCGGAGAAAACGGGCTGTCGAATTATTGGACCGTCGGATTAGAGGATTGTTGAATTTAAGGACTGTCTCATTATAGGTCTGATCACAGAAATTTCTATAATTTGATAAAATTGCACCTGGTTTTTCTGATATATCACATTCAATCCGGCGAGACAATTTATTTTTATTTATGTATGTGTTATAATAATCAATATTATGATTACCAAATGATTATAATCGATATGTAACCTGGGATTAGTATTCGTATATAGTATGTCCCCGGGTGTAACGTATGAAATACAGTATTATTGCCACTGATAAACGTGAGTTTAGCCATGTGTTGTTATTGTCAACAGATGCTGTATGTGATATTTATAACTTAGCTCCACCCCTCATTCCAAATATGCTTAATTGCTTACCACCTGGTAAATTTTATAGTTCAGATCCGGCCTTTAAGGACACGACTGCTGGCCTGCAATACACTTATAATTTTAATGTCCAGTCCTTATCTTGTTACTTTATTATTTACAGCATTTATAATTTTGCCGAGGTCAAGTACGCCTTCACATTCTTGTTTACGTTAATCATATGCGGTCTGGTAAATAGATGTATATCTTGTTTATATTTTTTTCACGGTTGTAAATGCAACCGCTTCTACGACGACGCCTAGGAGTCGCGTCACAAACTAAGGCAGATAATCGGAAAAACCTATCCTTTTTTTAACATCTCACCAGCATATCTGTTAGGTCCCCACTGGTCTCTCCATGACAGTCCACAAGGTGTAATTGGAACAGACCCACCAGGTAAATAGGAATCTATGAAGGCTTCTATATTTGCTTTATATTTATCATCTTTAGTTATTTCCCATAGAAGAAGCTACATGTAAAAAGAGTAAATTACATAAAATATTAGAGAATCAATATGATGATTTTTTTATAAAATGATAATTTGAATGAAACATTGCTTATAAATGTCATAATACTGGTTGCTCTAATCTAGAGAACATCCGAAAACACCCAGTCATATGTGCGAATACATACATTTCCATAGTTTCTTGAGGTTTGTCTATGCATGCATTTTGTTTCATTGAATTCTTTTAAGAAGTTGATACTTTATATAAGCTGTAGTATCCAAAATATTACGCAATAACGAGCAGCCTTCTATATATGGCTGAGGGTCTTTAGTTCGGTATTCTTTTATTGTTATGTCATTTTCTCTATTCTTCATATTTAAGCACTCCATTATTCTCAGTATTTTTTTATATTTTCCCCTATTTTGCAACTTTTTAAAAAAACTTTTGCGCTTTATTCCCTTAACCCCATCACCTCCTACGCATATGTTAGTTGAAACACTATTTATCAATGAAAAATTATAACAATGAAGTAGTACAATTTTACATGAAATTCAGATATGGGATTCGGAAACAAGATTGGAAAAACTTTTATAAATCCGTCTCCCAAAAAAAAATACATTTATTTAACAAACAATATAACGTGCCAACAGTATATTCAGTTAAAGGTAACATATAATAAATTGTAATAAATACCAAAAAGAAAAAGAAAACAAACAAAAAACAACGAAGCAGTTAAATTTTCTTTTCTTGATAGACAGTCACTGGAATCACCACACATGCCCGATTATAGTCGATTACGGACAATCCACTCGATTTGACATCAATACATATATATATATATATATATATATAACTTATACAAACTATAGAAGTAAAACACATGAAAAGCATCAATTTGTTATCAAACGGACGTAAATGCTCAGCAAAAACGTAAAACATCCGCATTAAAATGAACATTCTTCATCCGCGTGGTACTAAGCATAGCGACATAATAAAACAAAATAATGAAATAAAATGATCCTATTCTTTTTTATACGGAAGCCCTGAAGGATACGCTTCATTTTGTCTTTTTGTCTGTTAGCACGCTTTACTAGTTTGTCATTTCGATTGGGTAATTCGTTATCTTAATTTGTTTACTTGTTATAGCTAGTCAAAAAATGTGTTTGAATTCAGAACTTTGTCTTTTCTCCATTAAATTTTGTGGTCGGAGCGTGTAAGATGGAAAGACTTCCCATAAAATCTCAAAAAGGGTCATATTTTAAATTAGTCTAGTTATATATATATATAGTATTTATAAGTGTCATTGTTCTTCATTTCTTTCTTTAAAAACATAGGATTATCTTTATAGACGAAAAGACAAACAAATCATACCATTTAAATATATATTATGTATCATTGTCATTTTGCTTAGTTTCTTTTGTTAACTATTCTGACATCGGACTCGGACTTCTTTTAAACTGAGTTTTACTGTGCGTATTGCTGTGTGTTTCTTTATTCTACATTGGCTAGAGGTATAGGGGGAGGGTTGAGATCTCACAAAACATGTTTAACCCCGCCGCATTTTTGCGCCTGTCCCAAGTCAGGAGCCTCTGGCCTTTGTTAGTCTTGTATGTTTTTTAATTTTAGTTCATTTATATGTTTTGGGGTTTAGTATGACGTCCATTTTCACTGAACTAGTACACATTTTTATTTAGGGGCCAGCTGAGGCCCGCCTCCGGGTGCGGGTTTTTCTCGCTGTGTTGAAGACCCATTGGTGGCCTTCTGCTGTTATCTGCTCTTTGATCGGGTTGTTGTCTCTTTGAAATATTCCCCATTTCCATTCTCAATTTTATCCTAACAGTTTATCAAGTTTTTGCTCTGTTATAATCAAATTACAATCTTTTACAAAAATGATAATAAAATATGCGAGAATGATTATTTTGTCGGAATACATGAAGGAAAATAAAAAGGAAAAACTATTTTTGATTTATAACGAATTAGTCTTTTTCCCTTGATTATCAAACTTCAACCATACATGTATATGTATATTCCACGGGTTGTCAAACGATCAACTCGAAATGAGGAATCCTTTTAAGAAAGTCTTTTTGTCATTTTTCAACAAATGTATGAGCATATCTAGACTTTTTAACGTAAAATTAAGATAAATGCTGTATGATTACTTACACAACTTCAAAATACTGATGGATTCAGTCGAGGATTATACCAGGCAATGGGTTAAACGCGAGAAAGAAGACGTAGATACTCTTTCCGAATGGATTAAAGCTGTGTGGTCGTTGATACAGATCAGAATTAATAAAACTGAATGGGTCTATGAAAACACATGCTACATCAATCTTCAAAGACCCAAATGTTGCAAAGCACCTGTCCTACCTCCATGACAAATATGTCATTCCCCCCCCCCCCCCCCCCCCCCCATATAAATACCCAAACAACATCTTTTTGTGTTTAAAATCACATTACATAAACTGCTTGTTAAATGAATTAGGTATTGATAATTTACTTGGAAAATCAACATATACCCCCACGACACTTACCAAGGAGGAAATCCTGGATAATCATAGGTCTGTTCTATGTTCCTTTGGAATTTCAAACTGGATCTCCCTTCACTGTATTGGATACCTAAATTACATAAGTGTCCTTACAAACAACGTTATATTGCTTGCTGGGTCTTCCAAGTAATCACGAAACCTCTTTCTAAATCATTAACATCAATTTATTAGAAAACCGGGCTTTAAAGTTATTGTGAAACTACCTGTTCTAGAGGCGGCGTGAATCAGATGTGGATACTAAAATATTCAAAAGATCTGTTAGAGTACATAAAATCTAAGAGTCTTTCATCTTGCAATAGTATTAAACATTTGACTTTTCTACAACTTTGCACAAGTATTCCCCTTTCTAAACTTCCAGACAAATTGAAAGAGTTGGTCCTGCTTTGTTTCATAAATAAAGAATGGCCAACGTAGATACAAGTATCTTTTCTAAGTGACGGATAAATCGTACTTTGTAGAAAATCACTCTGAAACTGACATTATCACGTGATTTCTTGATTGACAACATATTTGCTACGTTTGGAGGTGGTGTTATTTCAACAAAGAATTGGCATTCCCATGGGGACCAACTGTGCTCCTCTTCTTGTCCTTTTATTCATATGAGGCTGACTTCATACAGGAGCGTCATAGGGAGAATGAAAAGAAACTAGCATTATCCTTTAACTTCACTTTCCGCTATAAAGATGGTGTCCTCTCACTAAATAATTCAAAGTTTGGTGACTATGTTGAACGCATCTATTCCATAGAACTTGAAATAAATGATACAACAGATATTTTCAGCATGTCTCATATCATGACTTGCATCTAGAAATTGACAACGAGTGTCTGTTAAGAACAAAGCTTTACGCCAAAAGAGATGACTTCAGTTTCCAATTGTGAACTTTCCATTCCTATGTAGCAACATTCCAGCAGCGCCTGCATATGTAGTATACATCTCCCAGATGATACGATATTCCAGGGCTTTCGTTTCCTATCATTATTTCCTTGATAGAAAATTGCTGCTCACAAGGAAGCTATAAAACCAAGAGTTCCAAGCTGTTAAGATGAAATCATCCCTTCGAATATGTTACAGACGCAATCACGAGTTGGTTGACCGTTATGGAATACATTTTTTCACAGATGACAACGGATATGTTCCAATCGTCGTAATTACTATCCCGACCTCCTTTTCCCCGAATGTGACCTACCGAATTTGACTTATCACCAGGTTTGCAATTATATGAGCAAGACGACGGGTACCACACGTGGAGCAGTATCTGCTTACCCTTGCGGAGCATCTGAGATCACCCCCAGTTTTGGTGGGGTTCGTGTTGCTAAGTATTTAGTTTTCTATGTTGTGTTTTGTATAATGTTGTTTGTCTTTTGATCTCTTTCTTTTTTTGCCGTGGCGTTGTCAGTTTATTTTCTACATATGAGTTTGAATGTCCCTTTGGTATCTTTCGCCTCTCTTTAAATATCATTTATCATGCACGTTCATCTTCAAGTGCTTGAAATTAAGAATGTTGCAAAGGAAAAGGTGTATTTCTTCAAATATTATTGATCGCTTTCTATAAATTGACAACCTGAGGACCGATAACTAAAAAGATATGTGGATAACAGAATTTCATATTTGCTTTTGTCAGTTTTGCATTCTTGATTTAATACATACTAATAGCCCCAACCTTAACGTTTTCAGTTTAAACCACATACCAAAGCATGATAAACAAAGGTGTAGCTATAACACATACACTGCTCTATCAGATTTATTTATATGTGGAAGTCATCACACAGATAGGTCTTTGATTGACATCATGAGATGGTGGATTGTGTCAATATTCTAGTGTCTAAGCGTATTAAAGGTATGATTAAACAAAGAGTTGTGTATACAACAATGAGACAGCAACCAAACGACACACATAAAAACCATCTATAGGTCAACATATAGTCTTAAACATTATAGACAGGTGTGTAAACAATGGACAATAAACAAGGGCAATGAAGAAAACTAACAATATGTCAACCTCCCGATTAAAGAAAAAACAATTGTGAATTAACTAAACAGAAACTATTAAAGATCGGTCACCAACACCAATTCTCTAAATAACAAGACCCAGTTTTGTCATGTTCCAGGTCTCGAAACGTACTACTTGGTATAGCTGTGAAATAGCAAGTCACACGATTCAGAAAATGAATCGGAATTCCGGATTTCAATTATTTTTTTCTTTTCGAGCATTACTGAAGAGTCATTACTGTAAATAGTTGATAGTTGTTGATAGTCACTTCTGTCGGTAGATTGTTTGTCCTGATAGCTGTTGATAGTCACTTCTGTCGGTAGATTGTTTGTGCTGATAGTTGTTGATAGTCACCTCTGTCGGTAGATTGTTTGTCCTGATAGTTGTTGATAGTCACTTCTGTCGGTAGATTGTTTGTCCTGATAGTTGTTTATAGTCACTTCTGTCGGTAGATTGTGTTGATAGTTGTTGATAGTCACTTCTATCGGTAGATTGTTTGTCCTGATAGTTGTTGATAGTCACTTCTGTTGGTAGATTGTTTGTCCTGATAGTTGTTGATAGTCACTTCTGTCGGTAGATTGTTTGTCCTGATAGTAGTTGATAGTCACTTCTATCGGTAGATTGTTTGTCCTGATAGTTGTTGATAGTCACTTCTGTTGGTAGATTGTTTGTCCTGATAGTTGTTGATAGTCACTTCTGTCGGTAGATTGTTTGTCCTGATAGTTGTTGATAGTCACTTCTGTCGGTAGATTGTTTGTCCTGATAGTTGTTGATAGTCACTTTTGTTGGTAGATTGTTTGTCCTGATAGTTGTTGATAGTCACTTCTGTCGGTAGATTGTTTGTCCTGATAGTTGTTGATAGTCACTTCTGTCGATAGATTGTTTGTCCTGATAGTTGTTGATAGTCACTTCTGTTGGTAGATTTTTTGTCCTGATAGTTGTTGATAGTCACTTCCGTCGGTAGATTGTTTGTCCCAATGAGTATTCATGCAGGTAACTCTACACTTTCGTTCTGGCATGAAGATACGAAAATTATTATTGTTTGCTTAAAGAAACAAATTTGGAAAATTCATTTGTAGAAACAGAGAACTATTGCCATCATGTATTATATTTCTAATCCAAGTGCCGGTTTTGAACACATTTTGTCCTGTTTGGATAACTTTTGTCTTCTTTTTTTCTGCTATTTAGAAAAACGTAGAAAATCAAACTTTTTTCAATATAAATAGATCTAGTTAACCAAAATGGACCTTAAACAGCGCCAATGCTAGAAAAGCACAAAGGAGTTTTAAGCTGAATGACAATGAAGAACGCTAACTATTTTAATCATTTTAGAATTTTTAAAAAAAGACAACACAACACAATTGGCAAAGCTATCTCAGAGCAACTTTGTAAAAGGATTTAGGAACCTCGGAAATTGATCAAAACAAACTTTTTGAAATATAAAAAGAGCTAAAGAACAGAAAAACCCTTAAAAAAGTTTTCAAGGTTGTCTTAGATAAACTTGCCAAAGGGGGTTGGAAATGTGAAAAATGAGGAAACAAACCATATAGAATTCAAATATTCAAAGTATACATATCGGCTGTTGTCTTCTCTATGGTCGGGTTGTTGTCTCTTTGACACATTCCCCATTTCCATTCTCAATTTTATCTTTTAGAAAACTGTGCTTTTTCCGCAAGAATCGTTATCGAAGTGATTTCATGCCACTACCGAATCACAGGTTACATATCTAATAATTCCCTCGGGATATTGTAGTCCACCAACAATAGTATCGTTTTTTTCTGTTTTAACATAGCTTTATCAGTTTTTACAATTGGATGCTGATAAAACAAATTATGCAAAAATCATGACATTTATATAAGGATCATTTATATGCATCAATGAGCTAAGTTTATTAGATAAAAAGCATAATATTTGTTTCTTTAGAGGGTAATATAGAGAGGTTAGAAAGCTATGAGCGAAAAATTTTCCCACACAATAGTTTTGTATTTATGACTTTTTCCTATCTTTTAAAGTAACAAAAAGTAGTTTAAGGTGTAATGGTTTAGAATTATGAGCAAAAAAAAATCCATAAACACTGCTTGAAAAGGCCAATTTTCATTTATTTGCAAACTTTTTGAAATATTTGATAAAATAAGCCCTTTGTTGCCTCATATGTTTACATACATACGTGTGTAAATATCAAATATAGTTTTAATTTGCATATAAACCAAATCTGTGCAATGTTTTGGTGAATAGAAACCTTTTCTTTGTAGTCATTAATTGATACTGCAAATATTTTTCAACCTTATAATTATATTTGCATATAGTTATATATATAGATGCTGCTACAAAGGTAAATTTCAATGTTTGTCTGATTTATTTACGATGGTAAACTCAGTGCAGTTTTTTTAGACCGAGGTTTACCATTCCTTTGCGCCCTGGTGTCCAAGCTATCATAAAAATAACGGATATATACACGTGTTTGTATATATACTAGTATGTAATTTGGTCCTTTAGTAATATGCATATACATATACAAATGTAAGTTGATGAGTTGGTAAGAAATAAAAGCAGATAAAACTTAACATGCTTAAGGCTAATACTGAGTAAATTTAAATTCATTTACTGTAGAATCTTTGGAAATTTGAGACACCGTTGATGTATGAAAGGAATTTTGAAATTGAATTTCTTATAACATATGTCATGTAGGGGTGCGTTTAAAATGTAATTTGTAAGTAAACCCAGAGACGTACACAGTGTGTAAACTGGAATAAAGAACGAGACCCAGTAGTTTTGTGTGATAATTTATAATAAATTAATAAATGTGACTAGCAAAGAAATGTTCAAGGCTTCATGATGGGGATGCTTGGCATAAAATATGTTTTTTGACTTTTTATCTAATGTTTACATGAAGGTATCACACTGGTAAATCATTCTGACAGATTTGTTGAAATAACAGTGTTATGGGTCTTTTTGTGTTATGGCATAATGAGTATGCAATAGCGACTTTTTTACTTACGAACGCATTAATTTATGAAGAACATGTACATTTCATTGGCGCCGAATAAGCTCAAACAGCTTATTTTAACACATATTTCAAAGATAGTACTTTAACTTATACTGATACTATTATAACACATGTGTTATGGTAGTCTCAGTCGTATATAATACAAACTGTTTTTTCATAAAATGTTATTTAAACTTGTTGAAATGGTGTTCGTATAAGATTTGTTTCCGTTCAAATAATTCATACAAAAACGTGAAATTTCTTCACCATTTATGTACTTGCCAGACCGGCGTTTTACGTTTCCGCATATTGGCATTACTTTTCCGGGAAAAAAAGATGACGTTTCCGCCAAAAAAGTCTACGTTTCCGGAAATAAATACCTTACTTTTCCGAGAAAATAGTAACGATACCGGAAAAAATAAATTATTACTTTTTCGAGAAAATAATTAAGGAGGACCTTATCTGGACCCCTGCTGTTGTTTCAATCTTATCTACACAAACGAACGAAGTATCAATCAAAGGAGTACCTTGAACTTTGTCCTAAATGAAACCTGCAACAACTGATTGTAGCAGCATGAAATTTTTGTAACAGCAGTATGCATTGCACATTCAAAGTCAATATGATCTACCTCGGACTGGAGAGTTAGTCTTCGGGAAATGCACACATCAATAAGCAGATCCCAAATTTTGATAAAAGTGGAAGTAACGCAAACACAAGAGGAATGTAGTTACCATTTTACACCCATGTATTGAATATTTAACTCTGCCATCTATGAAAATATTAGTTATTTCATTGCATAGACGATCATAGACATTTTAAGTTGGTGAAACATAAAAATATAACAATTCCAACATCATCATCTTTCACTAAGGTGAAACTTTCATTTTTTTTATATCTAGTATATGTGTAACACAACACAAGGTTATTTGGAACAACAATTTATTTAAGCCGGTCTGGAACGGAGTCCATAACGGACAAGGTCCATAACGGACGGTCTCCTCATAACAGTGCGTGCAAATAGTTTATATACATTTCATTTGAATATAACAGTTTATCAAACCTTCTATTACTTTGACAATAATAGTTTTCATTCTAAGGATACACAGATGAATATCTATCAAGCTGACTTTAATTGACATGTTTTTGCCAATCTGGACAATTTATAGTTGTGAATCTTGCGTATGTCCAGTTCATTAACTAATTGTTATTATAACTTGTCAGCAAATGGCCTAAATGTGTACATGTTCTTATATTTACATGTAATGTTAACCTTGAATTAAAACAATGAGTCTAAAACTTATTTGTATAATTTTCTTGATAGATATTTCCCTGTGTTATTTTATTCAATGAATTTTATTAAACATATTAAAAGAATATATAAATATATATATTTTGAAGCCTATCATATTGTCACATATTGTAGATATAAGATCAGAACCTTTTTTGTATAAAAATATGAAATAAATAATTTATCTAACATATATTCAAATATTAATAATTTACTACCAGGTAAATTTCCGGAAAAGTAATAAATACAATTTCTGGAAACGTATACTTTAAGTTTCCGGAAACGTAGTATTGGAACTTTGAAAAATTAGCGGAAATGCAATACGCCCAGACAAAATAGAGCAAACCGAAGTGCTATGCCAATTTCAACAAAACAACAAATAAACATCATTCAGTTAACTGTAGAGAAATATAACTTTCTATCTGAAAACAAATAATTGAGATACTACTAGTAGTAACCATTTATGATTTGCTATCAACCAATTATTTCCGGCAAAACGTTTGCACTTTGATAGAAAATATTTCCCTCAAACATAAATTGACAAATTCAATCAAAATTGCAACGTTCTATTAATTTAATTAATTTAAATATAATGCAACTGTTTAGCTGAATCGAGAAATGCTTACAATCAAATGGTTGCATACTATCGGAACGGTGTTTTGACTGGTTTAACTAAGAACATATAATTTCCGGACTATATTTGGAAATACTTCGAGGTTAACTCGAAAAAATTTGATAGTCCATAGTAATGATTCAATTGCATAGTAAAAGATCATTGAACATGACCCCTTATTAGATGTCTTTTAATAGAATTTTTGCCGCGACGAACAAATCTTACAGGGCGAAGTGACATATCTAATTTTATCCAGATTGGATTTGTGTTTTTGCTCCCTCTATTCGTGTGTCTTTTATCTCGATGCGTATGTTCCTTCCAAAGGAAACGTACATAAATAGTATAGAGCGAAAGACAGGATGAATAACTACCTGGCAGCCTGGTTGTTTGACATCCCAAGAATATCCCCAGGCTGTTGCTGACTCGTAATATGTTTTTGCGTCTTCTAAGTATTTGTTTTCAGTCGTTGCCTTATACATTTCAGCAGCTGCTTCACACATTTCGTCTTTCCATCCTGAGGAACTAAAGAAAATAAGCATATGTATTATAACATTTCGCCTTTCCATTCTGATATACTAAAGAATACCAAGCTTATGTAAAAATAAGAAGATGTGGAATGATTACCAATGAGACAACTCTCCATTAGAGAGAACGTAGAAGTTAGCAAATATAGGTCACCGTACGGCCTTCGCCAAGGAGTAAAACCCAAATGTAAAACAATTGAAAATGAGAAAACTAACGACCTTATCCATGAATAAAACAATTAACGAAAAACAAATACAAAATGTATTATATACAATTAAACGACATGCACTTAATTACAGGCTCCTGACTTTGGACATGCACATATAGGATGTGGTGGAGTCATGAAGTCTTTTCATGTTGCTCATTCAATCAGATAATGTTTAAATTTCATAAAGGGGACATTACCCGTAAAATGCTTTTGCTTGGGGTACGCTATCTGAATATAAACCAGGATTTGCTTTGGCAAAATCATATAAGGTTTTTGCTGCTTCCAATAGCCTTGTACTGTATTGTCCATCTGAAATAAGCGCATGCAACTTAAAAACAATTACTATCTTGAAAAAAAAAATATCCAACGCACTTAAATTGGAGTGTTTGTTAAAAATTTCCAAATTTATGGTCTATTGGTGTTACAAAAGTGCTCCAACTTTGATGATTGAAATACGTCAATTCTGAAAATTGATATTAAATAAAACAAGATGTAATACAGTTCACTATGCAACAACAGAACACATAACAATCGAAATAAACCAGTTTTCAAATTTGAGCAAATATTAACTTAACAAAATGACTTATTATTTGGATAGTATTTTTTTTTTTAAATCAATAAACTATAAATTTTAAATTTTTTAATAATTCAAATTCTTATATATGCAGAACATCAAATAAGAACCTTTAAAGCAATACCTTTTTGTCTGAAAACAATCGATCCTACTGCTAAAGCAGCGACAGTATTCCCTGCAACGTCACTTCCTGGTGCTCCAGGACGAATCTTATATGCGGGTCTTGTCATCTGCATGTCTTCTGCTCTTCCCCAGTAACTATGATCTGCACCGACATCACCAACCTTGTGTTAGTGGATAACGCATACTATAGTAATTATGTACATTTTATCATTATAGTTTTATTTTAGTATATGCAATGCAAGAGTGTTTTCCTTGTTTGCTCTGCATCATATCAAGTAGAGGTTATTTTAAGAATCGTAGTCATTATGCAACTGATGCAAAAATACAAAACAAGACACTCCACATATAAAAAGAAAGATGGTGTATAATTGCTATTGAGACAGCTATCCATTAAAGACTAAATAAAGATGTCAACATCTACAGGTCACCACATACGGTCTTCAACAATGATCTAAACATTAGGATGTAAACAACTACGGGTCACCGGACGGCCTTCAACAAAGACCAAAACATATGGATGTAAAAAAAAATTCAGGTCACAGGACGGCCTTCGACAAAGACCAAACATATGGATGTAAACAACTACGGGTCACCGGACGGCCTTCGACAATGACCTAAATATAAGGATGTTAACAACTACAGGTCACCGGACGGCCTTCAACAAAGACCAAAACATAAGGATATAAACAACTACGGGTCAACAGACGGCCTTCAACAAAGACCAAAACATAAGGATGTAAACAACTACGGGTCACCGGACGGCCTTCAACAAAGAACAAAACATAAGGATGTTAACAACTACAGGTCACCGGACGGCCTTCGACAGAGACCAAAACATAAGGATGTTAACAACTACGGTTCACCGGCCGGCCTTCATTAAAGACCAAAACATACAGATGTAAACAACTACGGGTCACCGGACGGCCTTCAACAAAGACCAAAACATGTGGATGTAAACAACTACGGGTCACCGGACGGCCTTCAACAAAGAACAAAACATATGCATGTTAACAACTACAGGTCACCGGACGGCCTTCAACAAAGAGCAAACATAAGGATGTAAACAACTACAGGTCAGCGGACGTCCTTCAACAAAGACCAAAACATATGGACGTAAACAACTACGGGTCACCGGACGGCCTTCAACAAAGACCAAAACATATGGATGTAAACAACTACGGGTCACCGAACGGCCTTCAACAAAGACCAAAACATAAGGATGACAACAACTACGGGTCACCGAACGGCCTTCAACAAAGACCAAAACATATGGATGTAAACAACTACGGGTCACCGGACGGCCTTCAACAAACAGCAAAACATAAGGATGTTAACAACTACGGGTCACCGAACGGCCTTCAACAAAGACCAAAACATAAGGATGACAACAACTACGGGTCACCGGACGGCCTTCAACAAAGAACAAACCATAAGAATGTTAACAACTACGGGTCACCGAACGGCCTTCAACAAAGACCAAAACATAAGGATGACAACAACTACGGGTCACCGGACGGCCTTCGACAAAGACCAAAACATAAGGATGTAAACATCTACGGGTCACCGGACGGCCTTCAACAAAGACCAAAACATAAGGATGTTAACAACTACGGATCACCGGACGGCCTTCGACAAAGACCAAAACATAAGGATGACAACAACTACGGGTCACCGGACGGCCTTCATAAAAGACCAAAACATATAGATGTAAACAACTACGGGTCAGCGAACGGCCTTCAACAAAGACCAAAACATAAGGATGACAACAACTACGGGTCACCGGACGGCCTTCATAAAAGGCCAAAACATATGGATGTAAACAACTACGGGTCACCAGACGGCTTCATTAAAGACCAAAACATATAGATGTAAACAACTACGGGTCACCGGACGGCCTTCAACAAAGACCAAAACATAAGGATGACAACAACTACGGGTCACCGGACGGCCTTCGACAAAGACCAAAACATAAGGATGTAAACATCTACAGGTCACCGGACGGACTTCAACAAAGAACAAAACATAAGGATGTAAACAATTACAGGTCACCGGATGACCTTCAACAAAGAACAAAACATAAGGATGTAAACAACTACGGGTCACTTGACGACCTTCAACAAAGAGCAAAACATAAGGATGTTAACAACTACAAGTCACCGGACGGCCTTCGACAATGACCTAAACATAAGGATGTTAACAACTACAGGTCACCGGACGACCTTCAACAAAGACCAAAACATAAGGATGATAACAATTACGGGTCACCGGACGGCCTTCAACAAAGACCAAAGCATAAGGATGACAACAACTACGGGTCACCGGACGGCCTTCGACAAAGACCAAAACATAAGGATGTAAACATCTACAGGTCACCGGACGGACTTCAACAAAGAACAAAACATAAGGATGTAAACAATTACAGGTCACCGGATGACCTTCAACAAAGAACAAAACATAAGGATGTTAACAACTACGGGTCACCGGACGGCCTTCAACAAAGACCAAAACATAAGGATGTAAACAACTACGGGTCACTTGACGACCTTCAACAAAGAGCAAAACATAAGGATGTTAACAACTACAAGTCACCGGACGGCCTTCGACAATGACCTAAACATAAGGATGTTAACAACTACAGGTCACCGGACGACCTTCAACAAAGACCAAAACATAAGGATGATAACAATTACGGGTCACCGGACGGCCTTCAACAAAGACCAAAGCATAAGGATGTTTACAACTGCGGGTCACTGAACGGCCTTCAACAAAGACCAAAGTATAAGGATGTTAACAACTGCGGGTCACCGAATGGCCTTCAACAAAGACCAAAACATAAGGATGTAAACAGCTACAGGTCACCGGACGTCCTTCATTAAAGAACAAAACATATAGATGTAAACAACTACGGGTCACCCGACGGCCTTCGACAAAGACCAAAACATATGGATGTAAACAATTACGGGTCACCGGACGGCCTTCGACAAAGACCAAAACATGTGGATGTAGACAACTACAGGTCACCGGACGTCCTTCATTAAAAAGCAAAACATAAGGATGATAACAACTACGGGTTACCGGACGGCCTTCAACAAAGACCAAAACATATGGACGTAAACAACTACAGGTCACCGGACGGCCTTCGACAATGACCTAAACATAAGGATGTTAACAACTACAGGTCACCGGACGGCCTTCAACAAAGACCAAAACATAAGGATGATAACAACTACGGGTCACCGGACGGCCTTCAACAAAGAGCAAAACATAAGGATGTAAACATCTACGGGTCACCGGACGACCTTTAACAAAGACCAAAACATAAGGATGTAAACAACTACGGGTCACCGGATACGGTCTTCAACAAAGACCAAAACATATGGATGGAAACAACTACAAGTCACCGGACGGCCTTCAACAAAGAGCAAAACATAAGGATGGAAACAACTACAGGTCACCGGACGGCCTTCAACAAAGAACAAAACATATGCATGTTAACAACTACAGGTCACCGGACGGCCTTCAACAAAGAGCAAACATAAGGATGTAAACAACTACAGGTCAGCGGACGTCCTTCAACAAAGACCAAAACATATGGACGTAAACAACTACGGGTCACCGGACGGCCTTCAACAAAGACCAAAACATATGGATGTAAACAACTACGGGTCACCGAACGGCCTTCAACAAAGACCAAAACATAAGGATGACAACAACTACGGGTCACCGAACGGCCTTCAACAAAGACCAAAACATATGGATGTAAACAACTACGGGTCACCGGACGGCCTTCAACAAACAGCAAAACATAAGGATGTTAACAACTACGGGTCACCGAACGGCCTTCAACAAAGACCAAAACATAAGGATGACAACAACTACGGGTCACCGGACGGCCTTCAACAAAGAACAAACCATAAGAATGTTAACAACTACGGGTCACCGAACGGCCTTCAACAAAGACCAAAACATAAGGATGACAACAACTACGGGTCACCGGACGGCCTTCGACAAAGACCAAAACATAAGGATGTAAACATCTACGGGTCACCGGACGGCCTTCAACAAAGACCAAAACATAAGGATGTTAACAACTACGGATCACCGGACGGCCTTCGACAAAGACCAAAACATAAGGATGACAACAACTACGGGTCACCGGACGGCCTTCATAAAAGACCAAAACATATAGATGTAAACAACTACGGGTCAGCGAACGGCCTTCAACAAAGACCAAAACATAAGGATGACAACAACTACGGGTCACCGGACGGCCTTCATAAAAGGCCAAAACATATGGATGTAAACAACTACGGGTCACCAGACGGCTTCATTAAAGACCAAAACATATAGATGTAAACAACTACGGGTCACCGGACGGCCTTCAACAAAGACCAAAACATAAGGATGACAACAACTACGGGTCACCGGACGGCCTTCGACAAAGACCAAAACATAAGGATGTAAACATCTACAGGTCACCGGACGGACTTCAACAAAGAACAAAACATAAGGATGTAAACAATTACAGGTCACCGGATGACCTTCAACAAAGAACAAAACATAAGGATGTAAACAACTACGGGTCACTTGACGACCTTCAACAAAGAGCAAAACATAAGGATGTTAACAACTACAAGTCACCGGACGGCCTTCGACAATGACCTAAACATAAGGATGTTAACAACTACAGGTCACCGGACGACCTTCAACAAAGACCAAAACATAAGGATGATAACAATTACGGGTCACCGGACGGCCTTCAACAAAGACCAAAGCATAAGGATGACAACAACTACGGGTCACCGGACGGCCTTCGACAAAGACCAAAACATAAGGATGTAAACATCTACAGGTCACCGGACGGACTTCAACAAAGAACAAAACATAAGGATGTAAACAATTACAGGTCACCGGATGACCTTCAACAAAGAACAAAACATAAGGATGTTAACAACTACGGGTCACCGGACGGCCTTCAACAAAGACCAAAACATAAGGATGTAAACAACTACGGGTCACTTGACGACCTTCAACAAAGAGCAAAACATAAGGATGTTAACAACTACAAGTCACCGGACGGCCTTCGACAATGACCTAAACATAAGGATGTTAACAACTACAGGTCACCGGACGACCTTCAACAAAGACCAAAACATAAGGATGATAACAATTACGGGTCACCGGACGGCCTTCAACAAAGACCAAAGCATAAGGATGTTTACAACTGCGGGTCACTGAACGGCCTTCAACAAAGACCAAAGTATAAGGATGTTAACAACTGCGGGTCACCGAATGGCCTTCAACAAAGACCAAAACATAAGGATGTAAACAGCTACAGGTCACCGGACGTCCTTCATTAAAGAACAAAACATATAGATGTAAACAACTACGGGTCACCCGACGGCCTTCGACAAAGACCAAAACATATGGATGTAAACAATTACGGGTCACCGGACGGCCTTCGACAAAGACCAAAACATGTGGATGTAGACAACTACAGGTCACCGGACGTCCTTCATTAAAAAGCAAAACATAAGGATGATAACAACTACGGGTTACCGGACGGCCTTCAACAAAGACCAAAACATATGGACGTAAACAACTACAGGTCACCGGACGGCCTTCGACAATGACCTAAACATAAGGATGTTAACAACTACAGGTCACCGGACGGCCTTCAACAAAGACCAAAACATAAGGATGATAACAACTACGGGTCACCGGACGGCCTTCAACAAAGAGCAAAACATAAGGATGTAAACATCTACGGGTCACCGGACGACCTTTAACAAAGACCAAAACATAAGGATGTAAACAACTACGGGTCACCGGATACGGTCTTCAACAAAGACCAAAACATATGGATGGAAACAACTACAAGTCACCGGACGGCCTTCAACAAAGAGCAAAACATAAGGATGGAAACAACTACAGGTCACCGGACGGCCTTCAACAAAGAACAAAACATAAGGATGTTAACAACTACAAGTCACCGGACGGCCTTCGACAATGACCTAAACATAAGGATGTTAACAACTACAAGTCACCGGACGGCCTTCGACAAAGACCAAAACATGCGGATGTAAACAACTACAGGTCACCGGACGGCCTTCCTTAAAGAGCAAAACATAAGGATGATAACAACTACTGGTCACCGGACGGCCTTCAACAAAGACCAAAACATATGGACGTATACAACTACGGGTCACCGGACGGCCTTCAACAAAGACCAAAACATATGGTCGTTAACAACTACAGGTCACCGGACGGCCTTCAACAAAGACCGAAACATATGGATGTAAACAACTACGGGTCACCGAACGGCCTTCAACAAAGACCAAAACATAAGGATGACAACAACTACGGGTCACCGAACGGCCTTCAACAAAGACCAAAACATATGGATGTAAACAACTACGGGTCACCGGACGGCCTTCAACAAACAGCAAAACATAAGGATGTTAACAACTACGGGTCACCGAACGGCCTTCAACAAAGACCAAAACATATGGAGGTAAACAACTACGGGTCACCGGACGGCCTTCAACAAAGAACAAACCATAAGAATGTTAACAACTACGGGTCACCGAACGGCCTTCAACAAAGACCAAAACATAAGGATGACAACAACTACGGGTCACCGGACGGCCTTCGACAAAGACCAAAACATAAGGATGTAAACATCTACGGGTCACCGGACGGCCTTCAACAAAGACCAAAACATAAGGATGTTAACAACTACGGATCACCGGACGGCCTTCGACAAAGACCAAAACATAAGGATGACAACAACTACGGGTCACCGGACGGCCTTCATAAAAGAACAAAACATATAGATGTAAACAACTACGGGTCAGCGAACGGCCTTCAACAAAGACCAAAACATAAGGATGACAACAACTACGGGTCACCGGACGGCCTTCATAAAAGGCCAAAACATATGGATGTAAACAACTACGGGTCACCGGACGGCTTCATTAAAGACCAAAACATATAGATGTAAACAACTACGGGTCACCGGACGGCCTTCAACAAAGACCAAAACATAAGGATGACAACAACTACGGGTCACCGGACGGCCTTCGACAAAGACCAAAACATAAGGATGTAAACATCTACAGGTCACCGGACGGACTTCAACAAAGAACAAAACATAAGGATGTAAACAATTACAGGTCACCGGATGACCTTCAACAAAGAACAAAACATAAGGATGTTAACAACTACGGGTCACCGGACGGCCTTCAACAAAGACCAAAACATAAGGATGTAAACAACTACGGGTCACTTGACGGCCTTCAACAAAGAGCAAAACATAAGGATGTTAACAACTACAAGTCACCGGACGGCCTTCGACAATGACCTAAACATAAGGATGTTAACAACTACAGGTCACCGGACGACCTTCAACAAAGACCAAAACATAAGGATGATAACAATTACGGATCACCGGATGGCCTTCAACAAAGACCAAATTATAAGGATGCAAATAACCACAGGTCACCGGAAGGCCTTCAACAAAGAGCAAAACATATGGATGTAAACAACTAAAGGTCACCGGATGGCCTTCAACAAAGACCTAAATATAAGGATGTTAACAACTACGGGTCATCGGATGGCTTTCAACAAAGGCCAAAGCATAAGGCTGTTAACAACTACGGGTCACCGGATGGCCTTCAACAAAGACCAAAGCATAAGGATGTTAAAAACCACGGGTCACCGGACGGCCTTCGATAAAGACCTAAACATAAGGATGTTAACAACTACGGGTCACCGGATGGCCTTCAACAAAGACCAAAGCATAAGGATGTTAATAACTACGGGTCACCGGACGGCCTTCAACAAAGACCAAAGCATAAGGATGTTTACAACTGCGGGTCACTGAACGGCCTTCAACAAAGACCAAAGTATAAGGATGTTAACAACTGCGGGTCACCGAATGGCCTTCAACAAAGACCAAAACATAAGGATGTAAACAGCTACAGGTCACCGGACGTCCTTCATTAAAGAACAAAACATATAGATGTAAACAACTACGGGTCACCCGACGGCCTTCGACAAAGACCAAAACATATGGATGTAAACAATTACGGGTCACCGGACGGCCTTCGACAAAGACCAAAACATGTGGATGTAGACAACTACAGGTCACCGGACGTCCTTCATTAAAAAGCAAAACATAAGGATGATAACAACTACGGGTTACCGGACGGCCTTCAACAAAGACCAAAACATATGGACGTAAACAACTACAGGTCACCGGACGGCCTTCGACAATGACCTAAACATAAGGATGTTAACAACTACAGGTCACCGGACGGCCTTCAACAAAGACCAAAACATAAGGATGATAACAACTACGGGTCACCGGACGGCCTTCAACAAAGAGCAAAACATAAGGATGTAAACATCTACGGGTCACCGGACGACCTTTAACAAAGACCAAAACATAAGGATGTAAACAACTACTGGTCACCGGATACGGTCTTCAACAAAGACCAAAACATATGGATGGAAACAACTACAAGTCACCGGACGGCCTTCAACAAAGAGCAAAACATAAGGATGGAAACAACTACAGGTCACCGGACGGCCTTCAACAAAGAACAAAACATAAGGATGTTAACAACTACAAGTCACCGGACGGCCTTCGACAATGACCTAAACATAAGGATGTTAACAACTACAAGTCACCGGACGGCCTTCGACAAAGACCAAAACATGCGGATGTAAACAACTACAGGTCACCGGACGGCCTTCCTTAAAGAGCAAAACATAAGGATGATAACAACTACTGGTCACCGGACGGCCTTCAACAAAGACCAAAACATATGGACGTATACAACTACGGGTCACCGGACGGCCTTCAACAAAGACCAAAACATATGGTCGTTAACAACTACAGGTCACCGGACGGCCTTCAATAAAGACCAAAACATATTGACGTAAACAACTACAGTGTCCGGACGGCCTTCGACAAAGACCAAAACATATGGATGACAACAACTACGGGTCACCGGACGGCCTTCGACAAAGACCAAAACATATGGATGTAAACAACTACAGATCACCGGACGGTCTTCGACAAAGACCAAAACATATGGATGTTAACAACTACGGGTCACCAGACGGCCTTCAACAAAGACCAAAACATAAATATGTAAACAACAGTGTACTACGTATCACCGTTCGGCCTTCAAAAAAAAGCAAACCTCATTCCGTATATATTCGCGGTATAGTTAGCTATACAAGGTCAAATGATTGCAAAATGTTCGGAATTTTAAGAGAGAAAATCAACGGACTAAATTAAGCTGGTAACATGAACCTAAAATAATTACGACAGAAATCTACCGACTGCACGAACCACTGAGATGTGTCTAGGTATAACACGTTTGTTACCACCTGTCTATGACTTTTTGCGTTATATTGCATGAGGCTTTACTTTATTTTTTGGGGAGCCTTTTATTTTGGGTATATGGAAATGTTCCTTTGCCTCATGTGTTATTTATAAAATCAACTACAAACAAAGGGATAATGTTCATTACCTGCACCCAATAGGTCTTTTGGTCAGGAACCCAACACTTGAGAAAATAGTCGAGTGGAGTTCTCAGACAATCGTACATATCGTTCAGTTTTCCATCGTGTTCATAAGCGTCTTTGAATTTTTCTAATCCCCATCCGAGAACATGTGCTGCTTCGGCCATGGGAAGATTGAATTTTACGTGATCTGCAGCTGTGGAAAATGTATACTATTAACTTATACACTACAGTGATCAGTAATTTTAGATATGACTATAGTGTAATCGGCGATAGTAAATCTGCTACCGTTCAAAATAAGAAAGTGGACACATGTTTATTCACGAAGAAAAAAGACGATCTGTCTCTCATTAGAAAAGATTTTAACTGACGAGGAATACAAAAGAAAGGATTTATCGTCTGGATTATTGTAAGAATAGAAACACTATGATACATAAACGACCATTTAAACTGATATTTTTTATGTAAAAATAGATATTTAATACAAACCCTTGTAGTTGTGGTGTTGCATTGAGGTGTTCAAACAACGGTATCATAATCATGTTGATACATTTATCTGTTCATTTTTTCAATTAAAAGTCTTTTCGCTGCAACAAGAATCAACTAATCTGATTATTGCATAAAAGCACGATATCCGATATAGACGTAGGACTTGGAGGTGCTATTATTGTTTTAATTAATTCATCTATTTGAAATCGAAAAAGCGATGTATGGAAGAATACGAGACCAAAATATAAATGTTATGTGAGCTACACAGTGGAAGGCTTAGTAAGAACCACTAGACTCGTCTTTCTCTACCAGGCATGGGGCGAATTACATTGCAATGTAATGCATTATATTACAATTACTTTGACCAAACCATGCATTATATTACAATTACAATTACATGCATTTATCAAAGTAATGCATTATATTACAATTACTTTTGCAAAGTAATGCCTTGAATTACACATTACATTTGAAAATTTTATTAGTGAATAGAAAAATTAAACATTTTGAAAAACAACTAGAAGTCACAAAAGATTCTAGCATATGCAGTAACTGTTCCATGAATTGAATATAAGTATACATGTAAAAAGTCTATTTAATTTGACTTTTACAATTTTTAATTATTTTAACTTAATGTTGACTTTACTTTTATAAATATATTTGTTGATGTTTTTTTTTTAATTTTAAACGAAATATTTAATTACTGTGAATTACTTCCCTAATTATAAAATAAACATAGACCTTAATTAATGAACAATTGTCTAAACAAACTAATTAGTGTTTTATAACAAAGTTTAATTATCTTTTATTTAAGCAAAACAAAGATATTCTTTGATCTTATGACACCAATACAGCTATGCTTTTCATATATCAATCTTTTTATGCAAGAAAATGTATGAAATAAGATGAAATAAAGAATATATTCTAATGATTAATATATTCTTAGTTAATCAAGAAATCTTAAATTTGGTTTAGTTAAAACTCCAACAATATGTTAAAGATGTAGTATGTGAAAAAAGTAATGACATGTAATGCCATGTAATGCATGAAATTACACAACTTTGCTAAAGTAATGCATTATATTACAATTACATGTAATGCACAAATTGCTGCATTACACATTACATGCAATTACTTGGAAAAATGTAATGCATTACCATGCATTACAATTACAAATTTGCATTACCCCATGCCTGTTCTCTACACGAAATTATTAGGACTATCCTATCGTTGCAACGTTTGATCATGCCATAAGCTTATTTGGGCACTCTTAGTCGTAAACTTTGAATGTATCAAACAAGTCTATTTGTATCATATCATATTTCACAAGGAAGAGTCACTGTTTACCTTTGTTTTATACCTTATATGAGGATGAAAACCATTTACTTTTCCAATGTAAAAAATATTTACCATCATACCATCCTCCCGTGAGATCATGACCATCACCATTATCCTGCATTGCGGAATCACTCCTCCATGAGATTGGATTATTAGAAGGAAGTTTTCCGGATCTCTGGGCATCATAAAACAGAATGGAAAGTGCCATAGCTTTACCATAATCATGTTTCATCTTAGATCTATCTAATATACAAATATCGTTAAATGTAGAGGGAGATTTAGGCGGGGTGCATACTCCTAGTCCCTTCCCGGCAAATATTTGGAAACTATCACTTTTTGGCATAAAACAAGTAAAACAATCCGTTGCGTTCTGCTCGACAAAACTGTTAGGATCGCACCCCAACTTACCTCAAATCATATATACGCGTCCGTCAACAATGAGCAAAACCCATACCGTATGCAAGTCCCTGCATGACAAAATGTAAAACAATTAAAAAAGGAAATCAAATTGCCTGATTGATATTTTATATATGAACGACCCCCATATTCCTGGCTTTGGACAGCCACATAAAAAATGAGGCAAGGATTAACATGTTTCAGCGCTCAACATACCCTCTCCGACAGTGGTGTAATAACACAACATAAGAACAAAATTATGTTAAAATCAGTTGAACAGATCTTGCCTCATCAGATCTGTACTAAGCACAAAAAACAAGTAACGAAAAGACAAAAGACACAAAGTGCCGATAAAAAGGTAATCACGGTTACTTTAAAACTAATTCAAAGCCCAGTTTCAACTAGTGAATAAACCATGTTCTCCCAAACTAAAATGTCAATCAAAACACTTCCGACGGATTTAGTTTAAAGACGACATTAGCAGTATGAGAAAGCATGAGATTATGCAGTGCCAACATATAATCGAATCTACAGGATGTAGGAATATCACAGAAATCCTGGACACATAGCAATACTAGTATATATAAAAAAGAAGATGTGGTATGATTGCCAGTGAGACAACTCTCCACAAGAGAGCAAATGACACAGAAATTAACAACTATAGGTCACCGTACGGCCTTCAACAAAGCCCATACCGCACAGTCAGCCATAAAAGGCCCCGAAATGACAATGTAAAACAATTCAAACGAGAAAACTAATGGCCTAATTTCTGTACAAAAAAAATAACGAAAAACAAATATGTAACACATAAACAAACGACAACCACTGAATTACAGGCTCCTGACTTGGGACAGGCACATACATACAGAATGTGGCGGGGTTAAACATGTTAGCGAGATCCCAACCCTCCCCCTAACCTGGGACAGTGGTGTAACAGTACAACATAAGAACGAACTATAAAAAATATGTTTAGTTATGTTTTAAGCTATTAGAAATAAATAAATGTAACTACAGATGAAGAAATTATTCACAAATCTTATTACAATGCTAAATTGAATAATCTTTAAGAATGAGCTTATTCAAAGAAACAATAATTTTATATGGATTCTATATGCTTTAATTTACGAGCTCTATAAACAACATCCCCGTAAAAATCAGGATGTGATATTCCGTAATATTTTTACAGATACAGAATGGCTTCCAAATCAAAACTTTGTATTTCTGAAAGAATTTAGCAAAGCTATTAAATAGTTGTGGTAACGAAATCTCCTGACTTAACAATTCATCAGATAATGCAAAATATAATAATAAGAAGATGTGATATGATTGCCAAGGAGACAACTCTATCAGAGACCAAAATGACGCTGAAGTTACCAACTATAGGTCCCCAAACGGCCTTCAACCATGAGCAAACCCATACCGCATAGCAAGCTATAAAAGGTCCCAAAATGACAAATGCAAATCAATTCAAACGAGAAAACAAACAGCCTGATTTATGTACAAAACAATAAACGAAAAACAAATATGATATACAGCAACAAACGACAACCACAGAATAACAGGCTCCTGACTTGGGACAAGCACATACAGAATGTTGTGGGTTTGACATATTTGCTGGCGCCCAACTCTTCCCCTAACATGGGACAGTGGTGTAACAGCACAACATTAAAACAAACTACAAAAAGCAGTTGAAAAGCTAAATATGATGGCTGAACTCATCAGATCGCTACAAATCACACAAACAACTAACAAAACATTTAAGACACAGACTACAGATCTGAGAGTACTCACAATTACTGAAAGCTAGTTCAAAGCAAATAAGAACTAATAAAAAATCATGTATGTAAGACTAAAATATCAATCAGTACACATCCAGCATCTAATGGATTTAGTGTAAAGACGTCATTAGCAGATCAGAAAAAACATGATCTTGTGCAATGCCAAAGCATACGTATCGACAGAGTGTGTGGCCGTGAATGTTCATGTGTGTTTAACAATAATATTTAGTTGAGCTTTGATTTATTGATGACATAATAAATATATATTTCAAGATCTAATTACAGTGGAAAATTGGTAACCTTTTAGAATAAGTTTATTTAAAGGATCGATAAGTTTATCGTCGAATCGTATCTAAATTTCCACTGATTCAATTTATTTAGAAAAATGGTTGTGCTTCAAAAACATGTACAATTTGATCACAAAAAGTTTTTTCAATGGTATAAGCTTTGAATATCATTTTTATATTATAACTATTTTAAAAATAGTATCAGACTCTTTTAATTGTCTAATTCTACTATTCCATTTACTATCGGATGACTGTAAACCCCCTTGATATTTACAAATTCGGGGGTAATTCGACATACACTATTGTACAGCGTTATTGATAAATAAAAGACCTTGAAAAATTAGTTAAAAAGAATATAATATATTTCTCTGAACACCATCCATATCAACTCTGGTCCAATATAACACTTATTTTCAAGCTCAGCTTGTAGTCTGATTTATACGTAACGATTTGATGTGAAATATCATATAAAGAAGAGTTTAAAGATGTACTTAGGTGAAATTCAAAAAAATTAGAATTTAAAATTGATACTATAAGTCAGAAGAGCATTAGTTAAGGAAGAAAATAAGCTAAAAATATTGATAGGTTATGAAGCTTTTTTACGAAATATTTAATTTTTTTTAAATGGCGGGAAAAGGCTGACTCGGACTTTTAACTTATATTTGCATTGGTATTATTTGGGTCTAAAATCGAAAGAAAAGAAATCTAGAATCTGCTTAAATTTTGGTAAATGACTTTTATGAGCTATTGAAGTCTTATATGAAAAGAAAAATGGGTGTTATGGGGCAAAATATTTTACCTTATATCGTCGGAAAAAACCAAGGAGTCCGAACATCTGACAAAAATTCCTAAACCTGACCTAAGTACATCCTTAATATCCTTCATATGCATTACTTACATGTAGTACGTGTTTCTTATTTTATCGTTATATGGAAATATGAACAACCAGTTACCTTATACCTACCAAAACCAACCGTAGGTACTGTTGATCCACCGTTTTCTTTAATTGTCGAATGTGTCCCAGTTGTTATCTGGTATGTTGTGTGTGATTTCGTTTGTACTGTTTTTAGCATTGGCGGTTGCGTTGCTACAGTACCAGTATTTCCCGTTTCTAATGTTACTGTGCCGAAATGATTTGTATCAACAGTACCACGTACTAAGAAATCAAGCTTCAGATTTTTTCCTGCCATAAGAAATCCATTCGTATCCACGTTAGTCATTACAAATTCCGTTTTATCAGTGCTATTGTGTATCATCTTAGCAGCCCATACCTTCAACGAAACAATCCCTGTGTGAGTAAGTTTAATTGTATTAATTTATGTATCAAACGATATTTTAAACATATTTTATTTCATTTGCTTCAATTTGAGTTTTTGTTGATAATTGTTTTGTCTAGTAAAATAAAGAACCTCGTCATCGATTGAGCTTTGTAATGTCCTCTGGCAGATCTTGATATTCTCTGTTGAAGGAGAAGGCATGGTAAGGTCTTTTTTTGGACCAACTGGATTCGAAAATTATTATATTTATCAATATTCAAAAAAACATGTCTGCCAGGTATTACTATAAAAATAAGAACATATGGTATTATTGCCAATGAGACAACTATCCACCAGAGACGAAATGATTTAGATTTAAGTAACTATATGTCATCGTAGGCCATTCAAGAATGAGCAAAAACCACACAGTATGATAAGCTATAAAAGACCCCGTCTTGATAAAATGTGAAACAATACAAACTAGAAAACCATTAATGTACAAAAGAAAAACGAAAAATAAATATGATAATAAGTCACCAACGACAACCACTGAATTACAGGCTCCTGACTTGAGACATGCACGAAAAAAATGTGGCTGGGTAAAACATGTTTGGTGCAAAATAGTATTTATTTGCTTGAGTGTTTTAGGGTTTCAAACGTCTTGGTTTTTTTTATGAAAACCTCCAAACACTGCAAAAACTTCATTCTGAGGTCTTTTCGTTATTATTTTGACATAACCCAAGGTCTTATCCCAAAAACATATTATGCAACACATGGCACAGTCAAAATATCTTTGTTTTTATTGTTATAACCTGGCAATTCACAGCTTAGGTGTACAAAGTCATACTAGTACAATGCAGTGCCTCATATATACTGCACAGTTCAAATGCCTTACAATAAACGAGATGCTTGATTACTTTTCAACTGTGTACACGTTGTTAAAAGGGTCGTCAAGTTGGTTACTTATTCCTTATTCCTTACCTATTCGTTACTTATTCCTTAGTCCGTATTCGTTACCTATTCGTTACTTATTTCTTATTCCTTATTCATTACTTATTCGATTTTAAGATGTTTCACCCTTTTAATGCTTTATTTTCTTTTATTTTCTTGTCTCTGATGTTCGTTCTTGGTTTGTAGAGGTGAAATTACTCAGGCCTTTTAGCGCGTATGTATTTATTTCTGCGCTCGACTGATACCCTGTTACTTATTCGCTATTTATTTGTTCCTTATTCGATTTTTATACGTAGCACCTTTTCAATGCTTTCTTTTCTTTTCTTTTCTTGTCTCTGGTGTTAGTTCTTGGTTAGAAGAGGTTAAATTAACCTATTAGTGCGTATGTACCCTTGTTCGTGCTCGACTGATACCTTGTTACTTATTCGCTACTTATTTGTTCCTCGTTCGCTATTTATACGTTGCACCTTTTGGATGCTTTCTGTTATTTTGTTTTCTTGTCTCTGGTGTAAGTTCTTGGTTCGTAGAGGTCAAATTATCCTATTAGTGTGTATGTACCCATTT